TAGTCTTCCGGCAGTCTTCCGGTCCCGTAGTCTTCCCGTAGTCTTCCGACGCTAAAACTAAGAAAATGCAGCGTTTGGAGGCCGAACACGCTTATTTCGGACCTCTCCCACCGAATGCTCACTTTCGGCCCCCAGGCCTTGCTTTTTTTAGGTTTCGGCATCTTGTAGTCTTCCGTCTTCCCATACTCCAGTCTTCCCGTAGTCTTCCGACGCTAAAATCAAGAAAATGCAGTGCTTGGAGGCCGTACACGCTCATTTCGGCCCGCTCCGGCCGCGGCGTGCTCGAAATGCTCACTTTCGGCCCCCAGGCCTTGCTTTTTTTAGGTTTCGGCATCCCGTAGTCTTCCGGCAGCCAAGAAAGTGCAGCGTCTTCCCTTCCGGCAGTCTTCCGGCCCCGTAGTCTTTCCGTAGTCTTCCGACGCTAAAACCAAAAAAATGCAGCGTTTGAGGCCGAACACGATCATTTCGGCCCTCTCCAGCCGAGGCGTGCTCGAAATGCTCACTTTCGGCCCCCAGACCTTCTTTTTTTTAGGTTTCAGCATCCCGTAGTCTTCCGGCAGTCTTCCGGCCCCGTAGTCATCCGACGCTAAAGCCAAGAAAATGCAGCGTTTGGAGGGCGAGGCGTGCTCGAAATGCTCACTTTCGGCCCCCAGACCTTACTTTTTTTAGGCTTCGGCATCCGTAGTCTTTTTGCAGTCTTCCCGTAGTCTGCCCGCTGTAGTCTTGCGGCAGTCTTCCCGTAGTCTGCCGCGGCCTTGCGACACACGGTCGGCTGGCTGCGATGTCACCCCAAAGGCCCCGTAGGTCAGTCGGTAACACGCCTCTCTTAGGCGCTGGAGATAATTTCGCAGTAGTTTGGAAGTAATTACTGCGAAACTACTGCGCCTTGGCAAACAGCCACGGCAGCAGCCACGGCAATTTCCCCGTTAAAAAATTAACTTTTCGCGGCAACAGCAACGGCAACGGTAAAAAAAGACTGCCCACGGTAAACCTTAACTTTCATGGTAAAAATTGGCTTGCCCCCGCTAATTGTCTTGACGGATTCACACTGGGATAGGGTCGTACTTACGCTGGAGATATAAGTGACTTAGCTTGGACTTATAAGTAACTTATCTTCACCCGAGTCTGTGGTTCGATTCCTGCCTGGCTCCATCGGCTGGTTGGCTTTGACTTTCTTTAGGTAGCGTCCTGTAGCTTCCAAAGCCAAGAAAATGCAGCGTTTGGGTTCTCCGGCCAAGGCGTGCTCGAAATGCTCGCTTTCGGTTCGGCATCCCGTAGTCTTCCCGTACTCTTCCGACGCTAAAAACCAAGAAAATGCAGCGTTTGGACGAACACGCTCATTTCAGGGCGAGGCGTGATCGAAATGCTCACTTTCGGCCCCCAGACCTTGCTTTGTTTAGGTTTCGGCATCTTATTGTCTTCCGTCTGCCCGCAGTCTTCCCGTAGTCTTCCGACGCTAAAATCAAGACAGTGTTTGGAAGCCGAACACGCTCATTTCGGCCCGCTCCGACCGAGGCGTGCTCGAAATGCTCACTTTCGGCCCCCAGGCCTTGCTTTTTTTAGGCTTCGGCATCCCGTAGTCTTCCGGCAGTCTTCCGGCCCCGTAGTCTTCCCGTAGTCTGGCATCCTGCGCTGCGGTAAGATGCTGCCCCCGCAGCTGAACCTAGTGCTCGAGTTGGAGTTTGCCGATGCCACGACTGCGCTGTGGTCCGAGAACGCCGGGGCGCACCCGGCGGGAGCCACGCTGAGCACCGACTTCAAGATCCAGAACGTCCGAGTTCTGGCCTCCCAGGTCGTTTTAGACTCGGCGCTCGTGGAGTCGTTCAATCGGGCGCTCCTCTCAGCTACCCCACGGTGCACACGCAGCAGTCCACGGCGCCGAACAGAGTCGCGGAGCACAACGTCACCGTCGCGCGCGCCTTCACGAAACTGATGGGAGCGTTTGTGACTTTCTGGGACAACGACGCGGGCTCGAAGATCCACTTGCTGGCCAACCCAGGGCAGGACGTGGCGCCCATCGGCGCAGCCAGGTAGGAAGACAGCCTCCTCGAGTCGCAGATGCAGCTGGGCAGCCTGCAGTACCCACACAACCCCATGAAGGCTGGTGAGCGCCTCTCCTTGGGAAAGTATTTCCCCTGGTCCTGGGCGCCCCTCTGACGCCGCTCCTGCACAGCCCTCGACTCGGCCTCCAGCGCATGTGGGTCTGCTTCCTGTACGGAGTCCGTACTTGCAGTAGGTAACATCCACCCACTGCAGGCGCTCCATGAACGTCCGACGCTAAAACCAAGAAAATGCAGCGTTTGGAGGCTGAACACGCTCATTTCGGACCTCTCCGGCCGAGGCGTGCTCGAAATGCTCACTTTCGGCCCCCAACCCTTGCTTTTTTTAGGTTTCGTCCGTCTTCCCATAGTCTGCCCGCAGTCTTCCCGTAGTCTTCCGACGCTAAAATCAAGACAGTGTTTGGAAGCCGAACACGCTCATTTCGGCCCGCTCCGGCCGAGGCGTGCTCGAAATGCTCACTTTCGGCCCCCAGACCTCGCTTTTTGTAGGGGATTCGGCATCCCGTAGTCTTCCGGCAGTCTTCCGGTCCCGTAGTCTTCCCGCAGTCTTCCAACGCTGAAACCAAGAAAGTGCAGCGTTTGGAGGGCGAACACGGACCTCTCCAGCTAGACATGCTCACTTTCGGCAGGTTTCGGCTTCCCGTAGTCTGCCCGCAGTCTTCCCGTAGTCTTCCCTTCCGGCAGTCTTCCGGTCCCGTAGTCTTTCCGTAGTCTTCCGACGCTAAAACCAAAAAAATGCAGCGTTTGAAGCCGAACACGCTCATTTCGGCCCTCTCCAGCCGAGGCGTGCTCGAAATGCTTACTTTCGGCCCCCAGACCTTGCTTTTTTTAGGTTTCGGCATCCGTAGTCTTTTGGTGAGCAAAAGAAGGAGAAGAGAATAAAATATACAAAGGGAAGCAGGAATGAGCAAAAGAAGGAGAATAGAAGGAGAATATAGAAAAGGAAGCAGGAATGAGCAAAAGAAGGAGAAGAGACGGAGAATATACAAAAGGAAGCAGGAATGAGCAAAAGAAGGAGAATAGAAGGAGAATATACAAAAGGAAGCAGGAATGAGCAAAAGAAGGAGAATAGAAGGAGAATATACAAAAGGAAGCAGGAATGAGCAAAAGAAGGAGAACAGAAGGATAATATACAAAAGGAAGCAGGAATGAGCAAAAGAAGGAGAAGAGCAGGAGAATATACAAAAGGAAGCAGGAATGAGCAAAAGAAGGAGAAAAGAAGTAGAATATACAAAAGGAAGCAGGAATGAGCAAAAGAAGGAGAATAGAAGGAGAATATAGAAAAGGAAGCAGGAATGAGCAAAAGAAGGAGAATAGAAGGAGAGTATACAAAAGGAAGCAGGAATGAGCAAAAGAAGGAGAAGAAGGAGAATAGAAGGAGAATATACAAAAGGAAGCAGGAATTAGCAAAAGAAGGAGAATAGAAGAAGAATATACAAAAGGAAGCAGGAATGAGCAAAAGAAGGAGAATAGAAGGAGAATATACAAAAGGAAGCAGGAATGAGCAAAAGAAGGAGAAGAAGGAGAATAGAAGGAGAATATACAAAAGGAGGCAGGAATGAGCAAAATTAGGAGAATAGAAGGAGAATATACAAAAGGAAGCAGGAATGAGCAAAAGAAGGAGAATAGAAGGAGAATATACAAAAGGAAGCAGGAATTAGCAAAAGAAGGAGAAGAAGGAGAATAGAAGGATAATATACAAAAGGAAGCAGGAATGAGCAAAAGAAGGAGAATAAAAGGAGAATATACAAAAGGAAGCAGGAATGAGCAAAAGAAGGAGAAGAAGGAGAATAGAAGGAGAATATACAAAAGGAAGCAGGAATGAGCAAAAGAAGGAGAAGAGAAGGAGAATATACAAAAGGAAGCAGGAATGAGCAAAAGAAGGAGAATAGAAGGAGAATATACAAAAGGAAGCAGGAATTAGCAAAAGAAGGAGAATAAAAGGAGAATATACAAAAGGAGGCAGGAATGAGCAAAAGAAGGAGAATAGAAGGAGAATATACAAAAGGAAGCAGGAATGAGCAAAAGAAGGAAAATAGAAGGAGAATATACAAAAGGAAGCAGGAATGAGCAAAAGAAGGAGAAGAAGGAGAATAGAAGGATAATATACAAAAGGAAGCAGGAATGAGCAAAAGAAGGAGAATAGAAGGAGAATATACAAAAGGAAGCAGGAATGAGCAAAAGAAGGAGAACAGAAGGAGAATATACAAAAGGAAGCAGGAATTAGCAAAAGAAGGAGAATAAAAGGAGAATATACAAAAGGAGGCAGGAATGAGCAAAAGAAGGAGAATAGAAGGAGAATATACAAAAGGAAGCAGGAATGAGCAAAAGAAGGAAAATAGAAGGAGAATATACAAAAGGAAGCAGGAATGAGCAAAAGAAGGAGAAGAAGGAGAATAGAAGGATAATATACAAAAGGAAGCAGGAATGAGCAAAAGAAGGAGAATAGAAGGAGAATATACAAAAGGAAGCAGGAATGAGCAAAAGAAGGAGAAGAAGGAGAATAGGAAGGAATGAGCAAAAGCATACAAAAGGAAGCAGGAATGAGCAAAAGAAGGGCAGGAATGAGCAAAAGCAGGAGAAGAAGGAGAATAAAAGGAGAATATGAAGGTATTTCGTGCGGCGTATTACCGTCCATTTAAGGCGGTGTTACCCTGTTTTTGGCGGTGTTACCCTGTGTTTGGCGTGGTTACCTCACCACCTTCTCCTTTTGGCCCCTCAAAACCACCCAAAAGTCAGCTTGCCCCTTGCTCCCGCTTGTTGGTGGTTTGGATTGGTGGGTTTAGAATTTGAACCGCTGGCTTTGTAGAGGGTAGATGGGAAGCCCTTCTTTAACCACCAAACCACCAATCTAAGCCACCAATTGGAGGGAAGCTGAAAAGGGGGAGGTTTTGTCCCCACCCAAAAAAAAACGAAACGTTTGGCCCCCTTCTCCCGTGCCTCCAGGTTTCCCGCATGGAACTCGCCGGAGTAAATCGAGCCGCAGCTCGTGGTGAGGGTTCCCTTCCCGCTCATCTCGCCGAACTGCCATTGCCCACGATAGACGTTCGCCTCGGAAACGCTCGTGAGGAAAACAAATTTAGGGTTTAGGGGCTTAGGGGCTTGGGGCTTGGGGCTTAGGGCAACCTCTTGGGGTCCAAATCCTATTTCAAGAATCGCCCCAAAGTACTTCGAAACGCAATTAGCACATCTAGGCAGCATGGGGACCTGGCTTCACAATAAGAATTGCAAACCCGGTCAGCACTCGAAACAAACCATTGTCCGTTGTTCACTGTCTAAGTCAGATGTGGTCCAGCTGAGCGGAGGGAGCCCACTGCCAAAAGATAACATCTCACACTTCTGCCAGGTCACTTGAGCGGTGCCCACAACCCAGTGTTTTTGTTGGTTTCGCCAAGATTGATGGTTACAAGGTGTGCATTTGCCTTACTATAACCAGATAGTAGAACCACCTACTTTGGGCTTCTCACTTGGCTCCTGGACATGTTTGACGAGCCGAAGCCCTCCCACCTTGTCCGGCCATTCGAAGGTGCCCTCGCCATGGTAAAGCCCGTTGAAGAACCTCAACCATCCAAGCAGTTGGCCAGCAACCCCTGGTCTGCTCTCACAGCTCGGAGTGAAACAAGCATCTGCAGGGTCGTGACTCCGAAGGTTCGGCATCGTGAATGGCGACTTTGGGAAATCGGTGCGGATTTGTGTCCAGCAACCATGTTTGAGGGTGAAAGAAAGTATTCCAACAAAAACACTGATACTAGAAAATCAAGCCGACAAATTCTGTGGCCATCTCGCACCCTTTGACCTTTGGCTCCAAGACCCCCACTCACCCACGTAGCGAGCCTCAGGGGCTAAGTCGTGAACGCCATGCCCGGGGCATGACTTTCAGTTGACCACCACTCTTGGATCGGTTCCATGTCTTAAGATTCAGCTCGCCCGGCGTTTTTCGTTCTTCCCCGTGGCTCGTTTCGCGATGCCTCGTCTTTTTGCGCCAGTGAAGACGCACGACAGCGAGCGAGCGCGATATCTCTGACCCGCCTTGACGGACCACTCCACAACACCATGACCTTGGAAAACGTTGTGCTCGAAGGTGCCCTGAGCGCGAGCACTCCAAGGCCTATGGGTGGATTGTTTCTTTCATGCTTAGTCTCCCAAATAAGGAGGATGTACTGAGTGTGCGGTGTTTGCTCCTTTTCCGACCAAAAACGTCAGGCCTTGTAGCGGCAAACTCCGAAATCGTCGGACCAGCAAAGCATGCC